TCTCTGTAGGTCATGATACAAGATTGGAAGAAAGAGTTTTAATTTATGTAACTAAAGACTTGATTCTTTCTTCACTTACACAAGTATCAGGAAGAGTTATGGATGACTGATTTTAGTGCATGTCATTTTACAGGATCCAACATCTACCCACATTATAGGAGATCGATTATTTAATAAGCAGTCCAATGGGATCAGTGTGAAACCAATAAACGTACAGTTTTCAAAAACCACGTGCAGCACATAACTACCAAATTTGTGTTAGAGAGGATTATAAGCCCTGGAAAAGGACGCCATTACAATAAACTAGAACACCGCAGGCTCTTGTTAGGCTGCTTTCAACAGTGAGGCAGGTTCTTCATCATCCCCTTGCAGCTTTTCTTTGCAGGAGTCACCTGGCCTGCTCAGCCCCCGAGTCAGAGTCTCACAAGCACATTCCAAGGATCAAGCAAAGTATGACAGTCTATGGCTGTGTGTGGTCCAGAAGAAATATAAGATGAACTATATTTGTAAATTCCCTAGTAGTCACATTAAAAGAAGTAAAGAGAAACAGGTAATAATATTACAGTTCATTTTGTTTTAGCATATATGCCCAAAATATTATCACTTCAACCTGTCATCAGTATCAAAATATCCAGTTGCTATTACAGAGGCGTTTGCTTGTGCAGACAGTGCAGAACCGGGAAGTGTTTCAATCTCTGTCCAGTGAGTCACTATGAATCAGAACCAACTCGGCAGCAGCTGACAACAAGAAGTCTCGGAAGCCCATTGTGTCTTTGACACGCTTTAGACGTGCTGCATTTTAAGTTCAATAGCTGCATGGGCCTAATGTCTACCACAATGAGAACACAGGTCTCAAGTCACCAAATTTCCAGTTAAATTTGGTAAACAATGCTCGCTTCTCTCAAAATGTGTGACCCTCTCTAACTTAAAGTACACCAGGCATAAAAATGTTTCAGATCAAATCTGAACTGGGTTATTACTTTCAGGAATCAGAACTATTTAGAAATACACTTTTTGGTTTCTAGCCAGTCTGTCTAATCATATTTAATCTTTTAAGAAAACATTCTCAATCTCATATTATGTTCAATCAAGATTACTACACTGCCAATTAAAATAATGAGTAACCCGACTATCATTCTAAAACTACAACAAGTGAAGACAGCCTTTTGTTTTAACTGCGTTGCTGGATTTCTGAAATGTCTTTATATAGTGTTATACATATTAATTATATAACTTTCAAAACTTTAATCAATGTTTAAAATGATAAATTAACCGCATCACCCCAGTTGTTATCTTCCAGAACTCTCCAGTTTGGGGAAAGGGTTGCGGGCAGGAGAAAGCTAACGTGCAAGTGATCAATAATAATACAGTTTGGAGAGCATTGTAAACAATAGATAGGTGAATCAGCAATAAGCACTGGACAAACAAAGCCCCAAACTGCCATTGAGTAAATTCTGAATCACAGTGACTGTACCTAAGGTTCTGAGACTGTAACTCATTCTAGTAGAAGACACCTCATCTTTCTCTCTCAGAGTGGCTGGTGGGTTTGATCCAATGACCTTGCGGTTAGCAGCTCAGCGCTTATGCCACAGAACCACCAGGACTCCTTATGCAGAAGAAAGAGAAGATAAATAATTTTCTTAACACACTGCCATACCACACTCCACTCTCAAATACATACGTGGTTTGACTTGTTCTCTCTGTCATGTTGTTGAGTAGATTCCCAATCATAGATATCCCTATGTGACCGAGTAGAACCGTACCACAGGGTTTTCCAAAATGAAATCTTTATGGGAGCAGATCTTCCTCGGGTGGGGCCACTGAGTGGATTCGAACTGGCAGGATTTTGGTTAGCAGCTGAGTACTTAACAGTTGGCACTGGGGCTCCTCTCTCTGTGAAAGATTCCATGCACACCAGGCAAGTGACCTCTTTTTCCCCCCTCTCTTTTGGGCATAGAGGAATTACTATGGATCAAATATGGGTAGTAAAGTCCTAAGCTGCATTATCACCCACATTCTTACTTCTCTCTCGAGTATAAGTGCTTCTAAAAGTTTGTGGAAATGCTCAATTCTTTTAATTCCATTTTCCACAATCTTTTTGAAGCCTCGTTTTATAGAGAGGATGAACACCAAATGAATCTGTCGGTTGCTTTAGTTCACAACTTTGCCAGTAGGACGCTGGAAGTTGTCCGCATGGCCCAAGGGGGCTGAGAAGAGCCTGTGACTTAGGGGTGAGAAGGGCCTTCAACTGCTTGTCTTAGCGCTGCTGGGACTGTCCCTCAGCAAGTCCCCTGTGCATGGTGCCGACCTTCCCATGCTACATTTCCCAGAAAGGCATCCAAGCACTGTAATATATCTGTCATGCTTTGTGCCATTTAGCCTAGTCGATACCTCTAACCAGCTCACCTTGATGCAGCAGGTAACCACATTTTTGACACCAGAAATATGAAGAAGAAAAAAGAAATGTGAAACTCTGATTCTATACCAGGCAGTCACAATTAATGGGAACCACAAATGCATCTCAGGAAATGAGCATAGCCCCCTGAGAAGAAGGAATGATCCTTTATGTCTCCAATGTTATGCAAACTACCCAAGGAGGTGACTGAGAAATCCCAAACATGGTTGTTTTTAGGAGTAAGAGCAGTTCTGCCATGGTGCATGCTTTCCTAAGTCAGTGTTCTGAAAACAGTAGGAAAGCTCTGGGCTCGGCCGAGGAGACCAGATGTTTGCACCTTGTTTGTCATGGACTAGTTTGAGAGATGCAAGCAGTCATCTCTTAAAGAAAAAACAAGCCACGACAGACTCTGACCCATTGCTGTGCAGCTGCTTCTGGCTCAGTGGCCCCAGAAGACGCGGTGGAACGGCTCCAGAGGGTTTTTGATTGAGCTTCTGGAAGCGGATTGCCAGGGCTTTCTTCTGCGGTGCTGCTGAAGAAACCTTTCGGTTGGTAGTCAATTGCCAACTCAGGGACCTCAAGACACCAGTTCCTATCCTAACTCATGGTGACCCTTATAGGTGTCACTGGAGAGCTATGCTTCAACAGTTCAATATTGAAAGCATCTTCAATAGTGAGTTTTTGAAGCCTCTCAAACAAACAAGCAAACTAAAACCCCACTCACTGCCATTGAGTCGATGCCGACTCACGGTGACCATGTATAACAGAGTAGAACTGCCCTGTGGGTTTCCGAGACTGTAACTCTCTACGGGAATAGAAAGCCATGTCCTTATCCCACAGAGCAGTGGGTATTGTTGAAGAGCTGACCCAGGGGACCGCTGTGTGTCAACTCCGCCAGCAGGGCTCCTGAGGGGCCTCCGGCAGACTCAACTACCTAATCTGTCAGTAAGTAGCTCAGTCCATTAACCATGCAGAGCTTGACTTCCCTTAATGTATACTTATATTCATATAGGGTAGCTCTACATAAATGAGCCGAAACACACCTCCTTTGTGGGATAGAACCTGCGATGACATATTAACTAAGAAAATTACACTTGCTAATGAAGAAATAATGACAACAGGATAAAAATTGTGTGAGAGAGTCAAGGTTGTATTCAATTATGGCTGTGAAGAAATATTAAGAGTATAAAGATACGAATGAAGCATTTTACATTCTTTTTTTACTAAGACTCTGAAAGCAATTAAACGTTTTACACTGAACGTACATCTCAATCTGGATGAGCATGGTTTTCCTGTGTGTGCAACTGCATATGACTTGTAAAGCTAATTATTTTTAAATGTAACTTTTATTGGGGGCTCTTACAGCTCTTATAACAATCCATTCATCCATTATGTCAAGCACGTTTGTACATATGTTGCCGTCATCCTTTTCAAAACACTAACTTTCTGCTTGAGCCCTTAGTATCAGCTCCTCATTTTTTCCCTCTTTCCCCCACCCTCATGAACCCTCGATAATTCATAAATTATTATTATTTTCATATCTCATACCAGCCGCTGTCTCCCTTCACTCACGGTTTTGTTGTTCGGCCCCTGGGGCGGGGGGAGCAGAGGAAGGGTGTTATACGTTGATCATTATGATCGGTTCCCCCTTTCTCTCCCCACCTTCTCCCTACCCTCCTGGTATCACTACTCCCATTACTGTTCCTGAGGGGTTTATCTGTCTTAGATTCTCTGTGTCGAGAGCTCTTATCTGTACCATGGTACATGTTCTGGCCTAGCTGGATTTGTGAGGTAGAATTGGGGTCATGATAATGGTGGGGAGTGAGCATTAAAGAACTAGAGCAATGGTTCTCAACCTTCCTAATGCTGCGACCCTTTACTATAGTTCCTCGTGTTGTGGTGACCCCCCAACCATAAAATTATTTTCGCTGCTACTTCATAACTGTCATTTTGCTACTGTTATGAATCGGGCAACCCCTGTGAAAAGGTGGATTGACTCCCAAAGGGGTCGCAACCCATAGGTTGAGAACTGCTGAACTAGAGGAACGTGGTATGTTTCATCGGTTCTATACTGCATCCTGGCTGGCAGGTGAGCCATGTTTTAAAACATTATAAGTCACATGGGGCTAGTTGCTACCATAATGGGCAGGACAGGTAGAAAAATCATCAAACTTCTAGTTGACTTTTGGTGCGCAAATATTAACATAGCCCATGGGCGTCAGTTTTGAAAACGCTTGGTTAATTAGATGACTGATAAATTATCTACAAAATCTGATTCAAGTAAGTGGGTTATTCATTGATGTTTAAAAAGTAGCACTAAGTTTGAGAGATAAGTAAAGAAATTATACCAATATCAAAATTACGTTTACAAAATTTACAGTTAAACCTTATATTCCTGAAAAAACACATACAATATTAATTTTTTACTCCTAATAGATATTCTACCCTTACATTAAATCAAAAGGCCCAACAGTAAAACTTCCGAAATAAATGCTACTAGGAATGATGGTTTCGACAGCTCTGGCATGCTCACTGAGTCACAGTGAGGTGGGCGGGCAGAACAGGCTTGCAGTCAGTCCTGTTGGGTTGAAATCTATCATCGTGCCGTATTGTTACCCATGTTTCCATCCTCTTTATGGAACCATACAGAGGAAGAGTCAGTAGCAATTCCAAGATACAAGAAAGAATTTTAAAATGCGGTGTGACAGGTTCAAATTTACCAACATGCTTCCACGGTCTCCACAGCACATCATCCTGGTATTGTCCAAGGGGCTGGGCATTTACCTCCAGACATGGTCCTGGTGTAGATGGGCAGGTCTTTGGCTGCTCGCCTGAGAACTTCCTGCTGCGCTTCTCCTCTTGGCTCTCTCTCCAGCAGTTCTTTCTCTGCATGAGAGAGATGGAACTGTGGAATAAATTTAAAATTTTAATAAGCTTTTGCCAAAAAAAAAAGATCCTATACTATGCCTCAAAAAAGGTACTTATGAAATATGAATAAAAATTCAATTTATTTATATATTCAAATTATTTATTGACCTATCATATGTATCATATTGGTTTACCAGATGAATTACCAGATGCTTTTCCTTATTTATAAATTCTAGATTGGGCATCATGTGCCTGATAATGACATTGTTTCAAAATGAGTAAGTAATGTTAATTGTTTTGAAAGGAAAACAAAAAAAAAACCCCACATTAAAACACGAGTAACCTGATGGTTCTATTAAAACCGACTATCTTGTTTGGAAATATTTTATTGGTATAAAACACATGACGCCGAGGAATATGCTGTGATATTCAATACATGTTAGAATATCTCTGGAGAAAGGATCTATCAAGCTCACACATGTTGACTCTGGAGAAAGGATCTATCAACTTCAGAACATGATTCCTGTGAGCTAGAATGCTGGTCTTCATGTCAACTTCAATGCCATCTTCTCAGGGAACTTCTACGATGTCCTCAGGAGAATAGGTGTTCCTGACGATGCTGTCCCTTCCCCTTGATGCCATCTTCGTCGGGTCCACGTGTTACATGCCACAGTTTGTAATTATTTGTTGATTTGTCCTTCCTCTTTCCTACCAGAATTTAACTCCACGGAAGCATGGATCAAGGCCTGTTGACCCTGTGGTTCGCAGCCCAATGAGTAACCTGCATGTGATCACGGCTCCTGGAGTGTTCCTCTATACTAATCTATTGCCCCATATTATTAACATCATGTATCAGCACGATACATTTGTTTTACCTAATGAACCAATAGGGACACCATAAATAATGCTCATATTTTTTAAAATTCATCGTTTTTACCTATACCAGTTTCTCTAGCAGGATCTCATCCAAAGATACCTCATTTACTGTCAAATTCCCAGAGTGTCCTTTTAGCTGTAACAAGACTTCCTTGTTCTGATGATCCTGACAGTTTTAAAGATTCTTGAATTTTCTGATTTTTCCCCCTCATGACTAGATTGGGTTGTGGGTTTTTGAAAGGAAATGCACAGAGGTAAAATACCATTTTCGGCCCATCATATCAAGGGTACGTACAAGCAACATCACAGTTGGGCTGCTAACTGGAAGGCCAATGGTTCAAACCCATGGTGGTGAAGTGAAATTCCTTAATGTGGCTCTTCTACCCAAGTCTCTTTAACTCCCATTAAATGACTGGGTGGCACCGTGCAAACAGGGCATGTGTGACACTAGTAGAGGAGATTGGTCAGTTATAGGGGTAAGTCATTTTTGAAGCAAAGCAAAGAAAGCCTGAAGACCTTGGAAGAGCACATTCAAGTTCGGTGTGAAGTGGTGGAGGCCTGAGACCAGATGTATCACCGACAGTGATACGGAGACTCAGAGGAACAGTGCTGTGCCTATGGGATACCTTCTTCGTATCTATTCTGAGATGATGGAACTGTTGGACAGGGTGACAGGTGAGCTGGCTTGCTGGCCCATGGAGACAAAGGCCAATGGACCATGTGGTTGACAGGCTAGGAAGCAGAGAGAGACTTTGCTGCTGGCGGAGGAGACCAATGACTGTATCCTTACTGTATACCTCTCCTGACTTGCAATAATCTATGAACTTCCCTAATAAATCCAACACCGTGAGTGTCATCTGTGAGTTCTGTGTGGCCATGGCCATGAATTATCGAACCCAGCACAGATGTTGAGTGGTGTGGGAGGAATGGGCGGGACAGTTGGTGTCAAAGCAAGTAAACAAGCATGGAGGGTGGAGGTATATCTGGGCCCTGACCCATGGCCACGGGGAAGCCAGAGGAGGTCAGCTAAGTCTGCCATCAACTGTCCCATGGGACAAAGATGAGGCTGCCTGCTTCCATAAAGACTTCTGGTCTGGGAAACCAGGGGGAGCCATTCTACTCTGTCTTATAGGGTCACTATGAGTCAGACTCTCTGATACAGGGGGTTTATCCTGGAATGGAGATGAGCTACATAAATGACTTGGAATTATTTAAGAGAGGCTTGTCTCTTTACTCCATTTATTTATTCACCCCTTTACTTATATCCCTATGAACGAAAGCATATCGAGTTTAAACTTGGAGTCATAATCCAGTGCTACATTCATTATGTTCTTGCTCAAATTGCTCCGCTGGTGGCCACTGGGAGCTTTCAGGTTGCTCCAGTGCCCCCTTTGACATACTCCCAACATGGAGATTTTTAAAAAGCATTCCATTACTTTCTGGCACTTAAAGATTAGCCCAGGCGTGTCTTCCATATTCTTGCTCCAGCCCTAAGCCCAACCATTTCTCCTGGAGGTTTCCATCTCTAACTGGAGAACAGTAGTATAAATCAAGACTTGGCTTCAAAGACAGTTTTCTGATGGAAAAAACAAAAGACCAAATCCACTACCACCGAGTCTATTGTGACTCATAGAGACTCTATTTAGGGTTCCCAAGGCTGTAAAGCTTTGTGGGAGCACACAAATTCATAGTTCTCCCTCCTGGTAGCTGGGGGTGTGACTGCCGAGCATGTGGTTAATAGTCCAACGCTTAATCCGAAGCTCCACCAGGGCAAAGGAGCACATACCTTTCCAAGGGTGCAGAAACTAAGGAACAGCTGATATCCAATACAAAGAGAGGGATAATTCACAAAACTGTATCTCCATTTTTACTAATTTTCCCCACTTAGTATAAAAATACAAATATGTTCTCATTAGTACCTGAAATATATGCATTCAACCATAGAATGTTTTGATTATTAAAGTAGCAACAACGTTTTCTAAACAACACTCAATCCCAGACGTCTGATAAAACTTGTAATCCTGTAATTGCTACAATCCTCTTGGGAATCAATTTGGCATGTGAGTTGCATTTTCTTGATCTAATAAAGCTATATCTGAGAATCTATATTACGGCAATAATCTAAACTCTGAGTAAAGCTCCACGGACAAGCCGTTAAAGACATCATTATTAATAATCTGCAAAGTTAGGGTCCACCTAAATATCTACTTTGTGATTTTACTAAATTTTTACATATCTCAGTGAGAACATTATGCTGTTATTCAAAATGACAATAAACCAACTGATAGGCTGTTATGTGAACAAATATTGGAAATTTTCACTATCTGAATACAACTCATTATTTGAATACAACTAGGAAAAACAAGTGGAAAACAATTCCCATATGTGAACTGGCTGAGTTAATAAGTTGGGATATCTTTTATTGCTTTTTCTTTTTTGCCTACTTTTCAATTAAAAAAAATCATTTTATTGGGGACTCGTACAATTCTTTCACAATCCATACATCCATCCATTGTGTCAAGCACATTTGTACATTTGTTGCCATCATCATTCTCAAAACATTTGCTTTCTACTTGAGCCCTTGGAATCAGCTCATTTTTCCCCCTCCCTCCCTCGCCTACACTTCATTTTAAAAATATAAGTTAGTACAGTTATATATATTAATTTTAGTGGGGCAAATCTTATGAATTGAAAAACTATTTTACTATAAAGCAGGAACATTTTAAGTGTCATAGTTTTCAGATTTCTTATATCCCCGCAATATGGAAGAACTATATATTAACAGTTTTATGATACAATCTCTCCCACATTTTCCGGCTTCATTTTTTCAAATATTTTTAGCATTTGAGATTAATTTATTGTCAATTTAAATCTAAGACCTTCATCAATTAGATGATTATCCCCAGATTTTTCATTTCATTAGTGGAACCATCTAAGATTCTTAAACAACCAAGCAAAGGCTTTCCTTCCACCCCTGTCCCCATAAGAGTGAATTCTATGCTCTTTGATCCTGTATCCCTATTAGTAAAAAGGAAAAAAAGGCACTACCAATATATGCTTATTTATGTATTTATAGTTCTATAGGTGCTATATTACAGGAGCTTGTGGTGTATGTACTAGTCTACATGTGGGCTGCAAACAGCAAGGTCAGCGGTTTGAACCCACCAGCACCTCCACGGAAACCAGAGGAGACTTTCTACTGAAGTAAAAATCCGAGTCTCCAGAAACCCACAGGGAAAGTCCTACCCAGGGCAAGAGGGTCGCTTTGAGTCGGATCGACTTGATGGCAGGGAGCTTGGAATACGTTTATATTGTGTATATTATGTATGTCATGCTCAAAAAAAGAGAAACATTAAAATTAGCATACAAGTAGAAAAACCAAGCCCATCGTCATTGAATCGATTCTGGCTTCAACTTCCTGTGTTACGTAGCAGAACGGCTTCGCGGGATTCCCTTGGCTGTACTCTGTACTGAAGGAGATTGCGTGGCCTTTTTCTCCAGGGTGCTGTTAGGTGGGTTCGATCTGCCAACTTTCAGGTAATAGTCATTAAGTAACGATATAAGCAGAAATGTCACTATTTTTACCCCAAGCTTCCATTAACGTCCCAAACACACTGACTTCATTGTGGTATCCGCTCTGCAGATTCAAACGTGGGTACAGTGAAGAGCATGACTTGCACGGTCCAAAGGACTTCTGTTGGATCTCAGCCCCCTCTCACACTAGCTGTTGATATCTCAGGATAATTGCCTAATCTTTCATAGTGATTACTTTCATCTTGAAATCATAATAAATATATGGTTGTGAAGTTGTATGAACTGAACAAGCTCTGTACGCATTTTGGAGAAATTCACCCAACAAAGCCTGGTCCTGCTGTCCATCCCTATCACGAATCTGGACAGTTCCTTCTACACTGCTGGCAGTTGTTGTCAGGGGCCAATGGGTCAGTTTCTCCTCATAGTGACCCTTCGCACAACCCAAGAAAACACTGTCCAGTCCTACACCATCATCACAGTCACTGTGATGTTTGGTGCACGTTGAAGCCCTGGCGTTCATCCTCCTGTTGAGGGTTTTCACACTGCTGACCCTCTACTGAACGGAGAATGAAGTCATTCTCCGGCACTGGTCCCTTCTGAGCACGTGTCCAAAATACACGCGATGAAGTCTCATCACCCTCTCTGCTAGGGAACACCGCTGTGCTCCTTCCACGGCACATTAGTTTGCTCTTTCGGCAGTCCGTGGCATTTTTAACTGTTCTCTGCCAATCCCATACTTCTGCTGCCTACCGTATTCACCGACCTCCTCTCACAGCCATACGAGACGACTGAAAATACGAGACTGGCTCAGGTGCACCTTAGTCTTCAAAGTTACATCCTTGCTTTAACTCTCTCTCAATTCTGTAGTCGTCTTTTCATGTTTCTTTATCATTTTATCTTTCCATTCTCTCTAAGCATTATTTTGACACCTCTACTTCCTGAAATCTCAAATCAACTCACCTTTGCCATCATTCTTAATACATAATACATGATCACATACATTTTAAAAATTAGAAGGCATCTCCACTTCCTGCTAAAATCATAAACGTAAACATCCATCTTTACCCATAACTTCTTTCCTACATTCTCTTAATCATTCATGTATCTCTTATGGGTGAGACACTGTTCTAGACAGTGACGATGGAGTAGTCAACACAACAGATAACATGTATATCCCTTCTAGAGCTTACATTCTAGTGACGGTATATAAAAATGATAAAGCAATAGTAGGTGGATATTAAATAGGTTAAATGATGATAAGTGCAATGGTGGAAGGAACGGGAAGGTACAGTATACAGGTGATGCCAGGAGTGGGTTTCTATCTATACAATGTGCTTGTCAAGGGCCTCCATGAGAAGATAGCATTTGAGAAGAGAAATGAATGTGGTTATCTGAGGGAGCTGTATTTCGGGCTAACGAGGACAAGTGTGTTTCAAGGCTTTGGAAACAGGAACATGGTCTGCATGTTGATGGAACAGCAGAGAATCTCGTGTGACTGAGGCAACACTAACTCGAGACAAGTGAGCCTGGGAGGTGGTGTGGGCCAGGCCATGGGACCCGTTGCAAACACAGTCGGGGCTTAGGTTTCATTCTGAGTGAGCTCAGCTGCCATTGGGTAGTTCTCAGCGGAAAAGTGATACGATCGGTCCTGTGTTTGAAAAGAATCCCTGTGGCTGCTGAGGTGAAACTAGACAGAAGAGGGCAATGCCAATATCAAGAAAGCCTGTTGGTAAGCATCTACGCAAGTGAGCGATGACGGTGCCTTGGACCAGCCGCGAAGGGGAATGGACCCCTCGTGGGGCCATCTCCTGAGTCACAGTCCAGAGACTAGATTGCGGGTAGAGGAGGCAGTATGGTGGATTCCAGGAGGAGAATGAAGGAACACTGGGCAGTGACAGCGTCTCACTGAGAGCCCGATTGAGGGCAAGGAGGAAAAGAGCGGTGGATCTAAGAGAAAAACTAGGAGAGTGAAGTGTTTAGGGACTGGGACGAAAAGAGCGTTCAAGCACAGCTACTAAACGTCTGGCTTCAGTGAAGAGCGAGCTGGCCTGGTGTAAGGTTGAATGCTATAAGCAACAGAGGAAGGATCTGGATGATTTTGTTTTCATGTGTGTTGCACTTGAAGTGTCATGGATTGAATGAACCCACTGCCATCAAGTTGCTTCTGACTCACAGGGTCTCTGAGGCCAGACATCTTTACAGGAGCAAACAGCTTCATCTTCTCCCTCGGAGTGGCTGGTGGGTTTGAAGCACTGGCCTTGTGCCACCAGGACGTCCAGCAGAAAGTTCACAACTATATACAGAGTTATCGACACAGAGTTATCGACACAGAGATCCTAGTTAAACCACAGCGTGAAGAAAAGCACCCATGGGAGAACTTATTTTCCTTCCAGTCCCAAACCAAGACCAGGATGGAGGGAAGAGAGATGAGCTACAGAAGGAAAGCGAGATTGGGGAGGATAAAAAGAGAAAGGAAAAGGAGTGGAGAGGGGAAAAAAGACTATAGCTATTAATTTTGTGTCAGGATTTTGTTTTTAATGTTCTTTCCCAGATCACATGACCTATTTATTGGCCTTTTGGGCAACAGTTGCAGGTCAAACTGATAACTTCAGAAAGCAATCTGCGGTGTTATCCAGAGCTTTTATCTATTTATTTTGTTTAACTTGGCCCGATATCACCATATTATTACCACTGGTAGTAAAATGTATTGCTGTCCAAACACACGGACTGGGTTAAGGGCCACGAGGAAAACACGAGGAAGACGCAATCCTTTGCTCGTAGAGCAACTAACTGGGATAAGAGACTCTGAAACAAACAGTTAACCAGATGACCTTTACAAAATGCCCTCCGATGATACCGGTCTATTCAAGACCTTCTCTAGCAGAGATCGCTGCTTGTCCGCCCACGTCCATTCTTCCCCCCTTGTGTAGTGGATAACATGGCCATCAAAGTAAAGACTTCCAATTCAAGGTATTTTGGTTTTGTCAACATGTAAATGTCAACCTCTTGGTAAAGTCTTTTTCTTGTGTATTGATGTCAATATAATCTTGATGTGTTAAAAAAAAAAAAAAAAGTAGACTTCCATGCAAGTAGATTTAGCTACTCCCATAAGAATGTACAGCCTCAGAAACCCATCGGGCAGTTCTACTCTGTCCCTAGGGTCGCTACGAGTCTGAATGGACTCGGTGGCAGTGAGTTTGGTTCAGTTTGAAGTGGAGGTGGAGGACTAGACATACATACATACAGACAGACAGACAGACAGACACATTACATGAGCGATCACATGAAGAAGATATGGACGGGAATCCCAGAACACCGAGTTCAGAGGAAAGGCTATTCAAGTGGACTGAGTACTGACTAGGAGTGGAAGCTGACCAAACATGGGGAGAGAAAAGAGGGGTGAATTGTCTGATGCAGCACAGCCACCCTGAACATCCACAAGAAGCATTCGATTGAGATGCGAGCTGACAACACAAAGCACACCCGTAGCTGGCTACAGGAAAGGTGGATGCTCCCTTATTTCCCACACTCTCCCACAGACCAGAAATGTGGCCAGCCACACCCTCACCCACTCAGTGGCCAGTGACAACCCCCCATCTCCCACCCCACTGCCGCCAGCTCCACCTGAGGATAGAACGTCACCCTCACGGCTCAGGCTCTTGGTGCACCGCCCCCCACATCTGGAGGCACATGACCCCCACCCCCTTATCAGACCAACAGAAGTTAAAGAACTGGACAAATAGCCTATATCCTCGGTCACCCCTAGGAGACCAAGAACAAAGTATCCTTAAAGGGAATCTTTACTTCTCTATCTTCTTCAGCCTTCTAGTAGGAATGTAATTATGAGAGTTAGAACTAAAAAAAATAAAAACAAACCCAACCCTTCACTGCCTTCAGGTGGATTCCAACTCCCAAGGCCCTAATGGGCAGAGCTGAACTGCTCCGGTGTTCCTGAGACTAAATCTTCAGGGGAGCAGTCAGCCTCCTTCCAAGGAGCGGCCAGTGCGTTGGGATCGCTGACGTAAAGGTTAGCAGGCCAACTCCTAACTCCTCATGGCACCATCACCGGGCTTCTTTGTTGCCAGGCTGGTAGCCGTGGTAGGAAAACTAAGAGGGGACCTCGGGAATGAAGGCTGCACATGGCCACGCAAGAAGACAGAAGCAGCCTGGGTCCCTGACAACAGTGACTATCGACAGACCATATGCACGTGGAGAAGGTTAGTTTAGATTGCTGTTTCTAGTGCCTAAAACTAGAACAGTTAGTAGACATCAAGCACTAGCCATTTTTGCCACCTAGGGAAGGCATCATGCACATCTAGTGACAATTACACATGAAGTCCATCAGCCTGCCAGCGACATCTATCTAAGGAGCCCTGGTGGCCCTTGTGAGTAAGCAATGACCTACTATCCCTGATGTCGGTGGTTCCACCGCAAGCCTGTGTCGGGCGGAATGGATTCGATGGCCGCAGGTAGATCTCTATGTATCTACTCGCCTATCCACCCACTTGGATGTCTGATTTTAAAGTAGAAATGGCACTCCTAACAGATTGAATATTTGAAATGCACTACTCATTCAGTGCAAAAATACTATTTGCCAACGGAAAATTCAATTATTTACTGATAAGCACATTAAAAAATAAAATCAGCCTGTAATAAAACCATGTCATATGATCATGATTACTTAATACATTCATATGTACCTTAATGCCATAGGATTTTATTGAATAAAATATAGAAATTTGAAAAACGGATATTTTGTATTTTGAAAATTTTAATAGCAATTTTTAAATTTTTCTAAAGATTAAAACTATAATTAAATAAAACACACTCAAAATCATCCAATAAATCAAACCCAGGGCCATCAATTCATTAATGACTCACAGGGGGCCTACCTGGAATCAGAGCACGCAAAAAGTCTAGAACACTCATCAGCCAAAGCCATGTCTTAGCGTGAACTGGACCTCCATAGGGCTGTCCTAGCCCCAGTTTTTCCTGAGTACACTATGAGGCCTTTCTTTGGCTGGGGTGGGGGTAGGGTTATAACCGCCAACCTTTTGATTCACAGCTGAGCACAAACTGTTCTCACCACCAGGTAAGGATAATAAAAAGGCCTAAAATTCATTCTTCTGACATTGATTTTACTGATTTTCAGCCTTAGAATAACTTCACTCATATTTTTTACTTACTTCTTTCGAAGGATTCATTGGTAATGTAAAGATAGTTTTCCAGTATGACCAGACAAACATTGCAAACAGTAGGTGATAAGCAATCAGGCACAAAACTAAAATAAAAGAAACACAATTATTGCAATTGGCAGTGGCATCCTAAAATCATATCATTCACAAAAGATCAGCTTTCCCTCAAATGACCAAATTACTAATTATCATAAAGTATAAAGGTCCACTCACCTTATATTGAAAGGAGTACAAATAAGTACAACTCAACTAAAGCAGCGAGTTACAAAAACAACACTACCTTGACCTCCCTGCCAGCGAGTCAGTTCTGACCCAGAGCGACCCTGTAGGACAGGGTGGAAGTGCCCGTGGGGGTTTCGGAGACTGTCATGGTTTACGGGAGTAGAAAGTTTCTCCTTGCTCTTGAGGGCTGCTGTTGGTTTCAAACTGCTGACCTTGCAATTGGTAGGCCAGCTCATAACCCACTAAACCAAGAGTGTAAAAGAGAACACCCCCAGTGATGCGTAATTAGATCTACGGCCAATGTACAGAACTCTCCAATTTGATGGAGGCAGGTCGACCTGCCGGCAAAATAGCTGGAGAGACGATTTTTCCTAAACTGGAAAATCCACTAATTATACTGGAAATATTTAAAGAATAAACATAGCATTAAATACATGTTAAGACATATGGGCTTTAAGATTTTTGTTTACTGACATGCATGGCAAAAGCAGTTTCTATTTGAGGAAGCCATTTGTCGATTTGCTTAGCTCTTGTCAAAGCTAATGGCCCTAATTGATTTGAATGACAACATATTTAAACAGAAACCATCTGCACAAGAAGAGATTTTCTCCAATGAGGGTTCAAGTGCCTTATTTACCACATGCACAATTATTAAAAAGCATTCTGAATACTTTTTCCAGGTATAAACATACTTTGTGTGGTGTTTTGAATCCTGAGGTACTATAAGCATGTAAAATATTATGTTAATGTAATACAATCATGATTATCTAATCTTAAATCATGATTTAAGATTCATATGTATCTTAAATCTGTAGGATATTCTTAAATAAAATATGCAAACTTGAAAAAGGATATTTGATATTTTGAACAATTTAATAACAATTTTTCATTTTTCTAAAGGCTATTATTAAATAACACACACACACAAATACAACAAATCAAACAATTTGATGATGACTCACAGCAACCCTATATGACAGAATAGAAGCACACAGCAGTTTTCCCAAGGCTGTCATACTTATGGAAGCCGGCTGCCACATCTTTCTCCCACAGAACTGCTGGAAGATTCTAACGACAAGCCTTTCGGTTAGCAGCCCAGTGCTTAACCCAGTGTGCCACCAGAGCTCCCTAGTCACCCCCTGAAAGGTATTTAAATCAGCATGCAATCACTAGAGCTGATACTGCTGTCCAGGAGGGGCCTGGGCGGCTGGGTAGCAATCCTTGGAGCTGGAGCATAAGACTGTTGTCACTGCGGTGCCGCAAAGCCAGGTGAACATTTGGCACGTTCATGGCTGCTCCAGGGCAGAGTTCTCTGCCGAGAGTCTGGTAGAGTGCAGTCTAGGGATTACATTCTCCATTCGTCCTTCAGTTTCTCAAAGAACAATGTATTCATTCCAACCAGATCTAAATGAATCATATTTAATTTTCCAAACTAGTTCTAACATTTTATATCTCCAAGGACAACATATTTTACCTTGTTCTCCAATGTTTTCCATGGACACTGTGGAAACAAAGAGAAAGAGAGAGGCAATAAGTTAGATGATGCTCACGGCAAATGTGTGGCCTAACAGAGACCTAAGGATACTGATACTTAAGTAGAGGAAGAACTTGGCTTCCTATCAAACCACTATTCTTCAAATATTTGTGCAACGTTCTTCCCCAAAGCTGAGCACTATGCAGAGAGAAGGGAGGGTGTTGACACCCAGCCAGGCCTCCAGTATGTACATTAGCTTTGGCCTCTTCCCACCAAGCAAAGCAAGGTCGTACTCCTTGTCAATTAGCCTGTAGCTTTCCTTTCCATCTAGAGAGTGCATATAAAAGCATTCTTCTCCAGGACATAAGCTTTCCAGAGATATTTATTGCCTTTTATAAAGTGGCGACCACCTGGCTAACTCTTCAGAATAAATAAATTATAGAGTCCATGCAACACATTTTTTTTTTCAAATTTCTGTAAATACAAATCTGTCTGCCCAGTCACTCTGATTTCTCCCTACTGCACAGTGAGGGGTCCAGATCACATGCTGGGGAAATGGTCATCCCTGGCTTAAGGGTTTTCGTAAATACCGAAAAAAGCACAGGTAGGTTAGGGTAGGGAGGATGAGAAGAAACAGGCTGGGCCAAGACCCTGTATGTAGCAATTTGGACACGTTTCTGCCCTTTGTGCTGCTCAGCTTCCCAGCTGGTCTCCCTCTGTAATGAAGGGTTTGGAAGTTTAGGCCTGTCCCAATGATTCTTAGAGGACGTTTCTGTTGTGTAGTGGCCCCACGTGTCACAGAAGGACTGGACTCTGCAGGGTTTCTGCGACTGACTTTTTGGAAGTCCATTTCCAGGCCTTTCTTCTGAGGTGCCCAGGGGTGGACTTCCTCACCCACTTTGCAGATAGCTGCCCAGCACCTTCATTGCTGGCATCGCCCAGGGACTCCGACTTTTTGAAGGGATAACCTATGCCAGGCCTTTATTCTGGGATGGAACTTCACTGTCTGAAGAGCCACTGGAATCAGAAGAGAGGAGCCCACTGCCATGCGTCAATGGCCCCTGCCATGCGTCAATGGCTCCCAGAATGAGAACGTGAATTCGCCCCTCTCTAGCTTCTGCCTGGGGAGCCTACATCCTCCACACGTAGCCACGAACAGAAAAGCGAGGTGACGGAACGTAAACGACTGAGTTGCCAGGTCCCTCTTCCATGTGCCCTTTTAGCTCTAATCAGATGAGCTCCAGATTTCTCATCAACCTTGACCTGGCTCATGTGTCTCTGAGCTTCTTACCAGGCATTTCACAGCCCTGGTCCCCAGACCTGGGCAGGTAGGCACAGGTGATCTTGGACTCACAGCTGGCCTGCTGCACAAGTTTACTTGCAAATCGACGCTAGAACCCGAGTTCATGTTCCTCTTAGGGTCTTTGAACTGGTTAGGTCAGCAAGGACTCGAGGCAAACATTTAAAGCACAGCAAGCCTGCTTTGATATCTGGCCAGCAGTGAGAGTGGCGATACCGGGACGGTGGAAGGAAGCTCACAATATTTCTTGGCATATGAGTGACGGGTAATGCCTAACACCAGCTGTCTTTTCAGGGCCCCCCAAAGTGCTGGGAGTGGAACATCTTCTAAGATCCAGGGTCTCTATTCTGGGAACCTCCCAGAACAGTGGCTCCCAACCTTCCTAATGTTGTGACCCTTTCATACAGTTCCTCATGCTGCGGTGACCCCCCAACCATAAAATTATTTTCATTGCTACTTCCTAACTGTCATTTTGCTACTGTTATGAATCGGGTGACCCCTGTGAAGGGGTCATTCGACCCCCAAAGGGGTCACGACTCACAGGTTGAGAACCGCTGTTCGTAGAACCTGAGGAAGACACAAGGAGATCTCCCAGGAAAACTGGCCCCCAGATGTTGAAGGGAAACAAGGACTTCCCTCCAAGGCTGAGAGACAGACAGACAACCGTCCTCTCCACTGGGTACCCTGAACCTACACGCCAAGACTCCTAAAGCGTCAGAGAATCAAGTCTGCTTGTTAAAGGCATCTGCCTGTGGTATTTCTGTTAGAGCAGCTCTGCACAGCTGAGACATACGGACACATACGTACCGACAGCGTTTACAGAGTAAATGCTCAAAAAGAAGGCTACATCCAATTTCATTCCCACTGAGCCCATGCAATTTCCCATAACTAGCACATTTTATCAGAGTTTTCAAAAATTGTGTCAATGGGCAAAGAAAAGGCACAAAGAGAAAATATGTATACTATTTTAGTATTAATTGCTCAAGTTACCAGTAAAATGAAACTTATTTTCAAAATATCATGGTTGGTATTCCTCTGTGTTCTGAGATAATTTGCCTATTGGCCTACTTGGTTTTTTTACTTAGTGATTCATAAGAGCCTTTTATAGATTACAGACAGCAATCTTATATCTATTATACATGTTGCAAATAACACCATATGTACCTATTTTCAAATGATGCAATTAGTACGGGCCAAAATTTCTAACTTTTCATTGAGTAAATAACAGTACCAAACCTTCATATGAATCCCTGGGGACCCCGGGGAGTTAGACCTCAGGCTGCTCACTGTAGGCCGGCAGCTCAAACCTACCAGCCACTCCTTGGGAGAAAGATGAGGCTTTCTACTCCCATAAAGAGTTATCATCTCGGAAACTAACAGGGGCCATTCTACTCTGTGCCGTAGGTTGCTCTAAGTTAGAAGTGACTTGCTGGCAGGGAGTAAAAAGAGTTGTATCCTGGGTTCAGCTAAGTTCCCTGTAAGCCGGGCAAACTCCATGGCAGTGGGTTTGGTTTGGGTTTTCCTAGCCACATGGAGATGGTGGGCTGACCTTTGTCGGATGCAGTTGCACAGGCTAGTTACTCAGCACTGTGCAGACTAACCTCCCTTGAGCAGGGCCGTGCCTTACTCATTCCCCTGCACTTGCACAGAGAATTCTGCTGTGCTGATATCGGGGCGGGCACGGTGGGGGGGGGGGAGATAAATAGCAAATCCAGAACGAACATAGACTTATTGCTTTTTTTGTAAAGTCGTGTCTTTGCAGAAACGTGCTCAGCATAAACAAAAAAGGTGGCTCCCGTTCTAAACACAGAATCACGCTTCGACTTAACAACTTCATTCTTGAGGCAGCGTTCAGCTACTGGGAGTGCTCTTAAAAGTGAGAAGATTCATTTAGGATGTGATACTATCTGTTTAACTTACTGAAGAAAAACAAGCACGTAAGAAAGAGATTGAAATGATGCAGTCACCTCACAAGAATCCGCTCTACGGAGCACTACCGCTGTCATTACTCTAACCTGTGTACACAGTGGCACATCTAGCCTCTCTAAATAGAAACCTTTGTCAAACTGGGAGTCACAATTCTCATTTTTATTTCAAAAAATGCATTCACCTAATTTTATTTTAGGAGCCCTGGCTTTCACCTTGGGCTGCCAGTGACCACAAGGTTAGCAGTTCGAAACCAGCAGCTGCTCCTGGGGAGAAAAATGAGGCTTTCTACTCCAGTCAAGGTGTACAGTCTTGGAAACCACAGAGGCAATTAATTCTACTCTGCCCTATAAGGTTGCTATGAGTCGGAATCTATTCCAGTGATGGCGGTGACTAAGTCAAAGTCTATCTTGGGTTAGCTTAATTTCTCTCAGGCTTGTGGCCCACATTGAAAACGTGGTGCTTTAGAGAGTTGTATGTAATATCCAATGTGCCTCCAGAGGCCCAAGCCTGTGCGTAACGAATTGTGCTGCAGTTAGGACTAGCTCGGACTCTGACTTGTTGAAAGCCCCGCAGGAATACCTATGCAATTTTTGTTGTTGTTGTTCTTGTTGTTGGCACAAATGGTATCACCAAAGAGAGCAAGTGGGAATGGTAAGTTGTTACTATAGTTACCAAGGACATTGTTTACCAACAGCAAAGTCAAGGCCTTTAAGAAGGACATGTAGGAATCTGGTACTACCAGTATCATCAGAGCAGCTGCCAACCTCCTAGTGGCTTGAGTTGCCAATCCTTTTTGCCTACCCACTCTGTGCCCACCCTACCTTCTGTAACCGTTCCTTAAAGAAACAGAGTGGTCGTTAGCAGAAAGGCCATCCATTTTAAAACAATAAGGGTGAACGGTTTTTGTTATAGAACTGAAGAGAGCATCCGCATGTCAAACATGAAAGAGGTTCAAACCAAAATGCTCTTCGAGACTGTGGGTGAGAAAGGCAACCTGGGGAAATCTCCGCCAGAAAAGAGTTTACCCAATCAGAGGAAAACCAGGTATCAAATATTCTGTGACCAGTGGGACTGCAGCTAGCAAAGGCGCACGTGCAACCGTGCACACTGGGAGAGAGGAGTGGTGCAGGTAGGAGCGTCAGTGCGGGAGTAACGGCAATAGAGGAAAGCACGACAAAGTGCTCCTTGATCCAGCGGCTTCTTCGTCTTCTTTTACTTTTTTTTAAAAGGAAGACCCTGAAACTCATTTACTAGGTATGCTTCATAAAAATAATTTATGATAAATTTTGAATCTTCAGGGTGCACATGGAAAATTACAGTATACACATAGACTAGTAGCAAACGATATCAGACCAAGAACCTTACAGCTATTTACCTTGCCAAAGTTTTACACCTTTTCCAAATCTTTTTTTCTCCCCATTTTATTGGGATCTCTCACAGATATTTTAACAATCCACAGTTCATTTAGATCGAGCATGATTGTACAATTGCTGCCACCAACATTTTCAAGACATTGTCTTTCTTCTTGAACTCTTTGATGTCAGCTCCCCTTTATCCCCTCCCTCCCCAACTCTACCCCACATATGTATGTGTGTATATATGTATGTATGTATGTATGTATGTATCCCATCCCTGTATCTTACACCTTCCAATATATCCGGTCACGAATAACAATCCTGTTATTCGTTCCCCTCTAGTGGGGTTATACAGTCATCATTGTTATTGGCTCCCCATCCCCACCCCCACTTCCGCACCCTCAGGGAATCATTATTCGTATTCCTATTTCTGAAGAGTTTAT